TGGGAGGGTGCCCGCTGACAGCGTGGGGGTGGGGTGGGGTGGGGCGGGGCGGGGCGCCAGGCCTGGACCTGGGCCCACCGGCAGCTTTCTGGAGGACAAAAGCTGCCGGCTCCACAAGGCCCGGCTCAAACGGCCAGACTGCTTGCGCAACAGCGTCCGAGCTCCCGCGTCAACCGCTCCTCGCCGAAGCTTCTACTGAGCGCCGGGTTCCGCAAACGTGCGACAGTGTCTGATGCCCGCTGTCCCGGAACCCGCCCCCGTGGGGACCGAGGCACGGCGGGGAAGGGGGGATCCGCCCGGACAGGAGGGATGGCCGCAGGAGGACGGGAAGGTGACAGATGTGCCTCCACATGGAGGACAGCTTGCTCTGGAGGACAGTCAGCAGACAGGAAAGGCTACGAACGATGCTCCCGAAACCCTGGTGCCTTCCTGCCCGGGCGGAGGACCGGAGCTGCTTGGGGTATTTCTGCCCGGCCTCTCGTTCTGCAGCAGTAGGGGGACTGGGCCGCCTTCCGAGCACCTCCACACACACGCACAGGAGGCTGGGAGCCACCAAAAGCACAGGAAACAGCACATACGGCACCTCTTTTTTTTTTGCTGTTTGTTTTATTATGAAACAAAACAAATGCCCCAGGAGAAGGGTCCATGATTACCAGAGACATCCAAGAGTACTTTCTACCATTTTTATTCTGTTGTGTTGAGGCCAGCACTGCAATAAACAAGCTAAAACTACTTACATTGGACTCATTTTCAGTAACTGACATTTACAGGAATATACTAGAAACGGCACTAAAAAGTTTAAGAAAAGTTACGGTAAACTTGCATGCACATCATACAGAAAAGTAACATTTTAAATATAAAAAAGAAAAACTTCCTGGAGGCGTTACGCCAGCGTCGAGGCACAGGCTACAGTGGGTGGAACGCGTCCCTTCTCTGGGCGGTGTTTCTCCCAGAGGGCTGTCACAGACGTGGGTGTGGCAGAACAAAAACAAACAAAAGGAAAACATATCTTACAGTTTGTAAGCAAGAGGACGCCAGCCCGCCCGGCAGGAGCAAGGGTCTCTGCCCCCTCGGCCTCCGGGGCTCACGTGAGGCCAACCTCCTAAGCGCACGGGTCCCTGCCGCTCGACAAAAGGCCGTGAGGGGCTGCCCTCGGGTCCTCGGCGCCGGGATGGCCCTGCCCGTCGTCCCGCTGCAGCCTCCCCAACACAGAGACGAGGAGAGACCGCAGCCACCGCAGGCTGACCTCGAGGGGGCCGAGGACGTTCCCCCAAACTCTAAAGAGAAACCAGCTTTGAAGTCTGCACAGAAAGCCTTAAAAAAAAAAAAA